AAAAGTTCATGTACATCCAAAACAATAATGTTGCATATTCTACGTTCTGTAAATATCGACCATTTTGGGTTCTCTATCCGAAAGAATCTGATCGTAACACATGTGCTTGTAAAACACACGTTAATTTTGATTTGTTGGTTAAAAGTCTTAACAAGAAAAAAATCACTACAGAGGCCAATGGGACTGCTATGTTGGAAAGTTTGTGCTGTGACATAAACAATGAAGAATGCTTGAATCGAACATGTGAAGTATGTGGAAACAAAGTAATTAACTATAGAGAATTTAGTAATGGAGAGAAAATAAACTATTATAAGTGGTGCGCAAAAAAAGTAAACCATCATGTAAACGGTCAAGAGAAAGTAAAAATTGTTACCGTAAAAACTCGATTACAGGATTATCCAATAAACGTTGTGAAAAAATTAGAAGATTCTCTGAATTCATACTTTAAGCATTGTACTAACATCGTTGTCCAGTACAAGAATATCAAATCTTTAAAAGCGACAATGACTACTAAGGAGGTTATGCTACACATAGATTTTTCAGAAAATTATTCCGTTAAGTTTAATGAGGAGATACAAAGCTATCATTTCGGCGGCAGTCGATTGCAAATAACATTGCACACTGCGGTAGCTTATTTAATTGATCCAGAAACTGGAATCACGAAGACATACAGCGTTTGCAGTATCAGCAAATGCAACAGACATGACGCCAGTGCCAAATGGGCACATCTCATACCGCTACTAGCCTACGTAACAGAAATATCACCTCAGATTGACACAGTACATTTTGTATCTGACAGTCCTTCTAGCCAATATAGGAATCGCTACATTTTCTTCGTTATTAGTCAACTACAACAGGATTTTCCACAGTTAAAATTTGTGACCTGGAACTATTTCGAGGCTGGACACGGCAAAGGAGCGCCTGATGGTCTCGGTGCTGTCCTAAAGAGAACCGCAGATCAAATTGTACGGTTTGGTAATGATATTGGCACGATGGAAGACTTTTTTGAGCTTATTCAAGACAAGGTGAAGAATATCAAACTTCTTACTGTCTCAAAAGAAGATATTGAAGAGAGAAAATTTCCCTCATCGGTTCAAGGATTTCGTGGAACAATGTCTGTGCATCAAGTGCTTTGGTCATATAACAAGCTTCGAACAACATTCCGAAAACTAAGTTGTTTCTTGTGTGAAAATGGTGAAATATGTTCACACGGATACCATCTTGGATTTATGAACGTAACTTGTGTTTATAAAAATATCGATGCTGAACATCTACAAGATTTCGTAAACGAAAACACGTCGAACGATGTCCTTCGAGAATTGACAAATCCTCGAGCTCCTACTACTACTAATCAATTCCAGACTAGATTAACCGCTGAAGCTCCACAAAATATGATGGCTTCTTCAAGTAGATCCAAACATAATAACAAAATCACCATACTCTCTGATGTAAAAGTACATTGGACCAACACTACCTTTATTGGCACTGAAATGAAGAAAACAAGAAATGCAAATTTTCAACTTGATTTCGAAAAGTTTATTTCTAGAAATGTAGAAGAAGTAGCAAAAAATGAACAAGATAAAGAACAAAATAATCCTGATGATATTTCAGAAATTGATAATGTAAAAAATGTACACATAAAGGATAGAAAGGTGAAAAAAAGTATTTTAACTATTTGGATGAAAGTAGCAGTGGAGAAGAAATATATGAAGAGGACAGAATTCTAAAGAAAAACTCACGTATTTTTTCATTTTTTGATAATTCTGATGAAAGTATTTTTTAATTTACCAAGTCAAAGAATTGATATTTTGCGAATTAAGAGTTTAGTTTTTGTTGTTTGTCATACTTACATATTTTTTTATATTCATAAGAAAGATTATTTCATCTGTTCAGTTTGAAATCCTGTAATATCTTTTAGCGGTATAATATAGGGCTAGCTAGAACTTTAGTGATTTCGAATCAAATGCCAATAATATAACCAAAAAACAGTACAAATATATTTCATTAGTATCTATTTATAAAATTACTTTACTCTTTAATAACAATCATAACTATTAAGTAAAATGAGACTGATTAGAAACTAACTTATTTGATTTGTAATAAGTGACTGTTTTTTTTAAGTAAATAGTTTATTTCCTATAGTTGTTACATTTATGGAAAAAGATACCAAAGTTATTTTTTACTTTTAGGGTTTTATAATTGAAAGATTAAAGAAAATAATTGAATTTGAAGAATTTTGTGAAGTAGTTTATGTTTTGTTTTAATTGGAAGAATTCTATATTATGTTGTTTTTTTTTTAATATAAAATGAATATTCACATAAATAAATTGATAGTAAAATGATTATGTAAAACTAATATATTTTATTTACATCGACATTACGAGCCATTTCGTTTAATTGCCTAGTCTCTGATTTCATTACCAGCAATTTTTTTTCATTACCTTTATCCCCAATTTCATTACCAACTGCACAGTTTTCATTACCATCATATGTATATATTTTAATTAGTCAATATCTATTCATTTAATGCGTATAATTTTGTATAAATCACATGCATATGTTAGATTCTTGATAAAGATTGTTATGAAAGTTGAAAAACAGGTATTTAAAATTTTCTCACAAATCTGTCAGATTTGCACCAAATGATAGAAATACCCTTATGTTTCTTTTTTTTATGGGATAGGGGGCAGACGAACAGACGGATCACCTGATGGTAAGAGATTACCGTCGCCCATGGACACCTGCAACACCAGAGGGGCTAGCGGCGAGCTGCCGGCTTTTGAGGGACGAATATGCTCTACGCTTGAAAGTTTGAAGGTCGTATCGGTCCGGAAATACCGCTGACGACAAACTGTTCCAGAATATGACTGTGCGAGGCAGGAAACTTCTAGAAAAACGCACAGTTGAGGACTTCCAACCATCCAAATGATGGGCGTGGATTTTGTATTTTGTGTTGAATATTCCATTTATCGAGAAATGCTATAGGGGGCCGTCCATTTCAATGGGGGGGGGGGGTTACAAATCATGAATTGGACATGATTTTTAACCCCCCCCCCCTCATGTCAAACTCTACAAATTCTACTAAATATTGTTCTAATGTCACAGTTCGTTACCCCCCCCCCTCCTAACGTGTGACGTAATTTATGGATGGCCCCTAGGCTACATAACATCACGCTATGGCTTATAGGAGTGGAGCAGCAATGAAAAATGTTGCAAAAACGGGAGAACATTTTACTTTTTTAATGCTTTCCTTGCGTGCGCTGCGTAAACGTTGAAAGTTACGCAAAAATCATGTATAAATTAATCCCCTTTAAAAGTTCTTAAAAATATATTATCTCCTGGGACAAATATATTATCTCCTTAGTCTGTGGCATATGTCTATCTTATATCGTATCCCGAAAAAAGCACATGAAGGGACGAAAATGGGTGTGGAAATACGTATAGGGCATTAAATCGTTTCCATAGTGACCATTGTTTACAATAGGGATGATGACTAATTTTTGTTTGTCCGTCAGGTAGAGTGTTAAAAAATATTAAACACGTATTTTTTTATTTTTTTCGTAATCATAAAATTATGGCGTTACATTGAGCCATAATTTAAGCTCTATACGCAGGATTATATAATGTTATAATTAATTCAAATCAATACAATCGTTGTCGCTAATATTAAATGCAAGTTATGTTTGTTAAGTACACTAAATGTCACGTTTAATTCAGCTACCGATCACTGGATGGCACCACTATACTAAAGTTGAGGATGAAACGTTTTTTATTTTCCCATTGCATGGGGTATCGTTGGATAAGTCTTTCAAAAATATTAGGGGTGTGGGAAGACCGTTTTTCGATTTAGTTAATCGTTCATGACTTATCTAAGACTCAAAGTGCCAATTTATCGTTAGTCCAATCCCCCCCATATCCACACCAATGAGTTACTAATTGTAGCTTTTATCTAAAATAGCAACTAAAATTCAAAGTATTAGTATTAGTTGAATAACAATTTGGACGAATATACGTTAGATACGTACAAAATTTCACGCACGCACAAAATTTTCTAAATCGCTTAAAATGCTGTATTGAGAAAACAAGAACAATCTGACCATCAAGTTACTTAGAGGATCAGATGTAGAATAAGACTACAATAAATTCAGTTTCTTTTTTATTCTACTGCGCACTAAATGGAAAGAAGAGCAACTCAACTATTCTATGAAGACGTCATCTATTGGGCAGGCCTATGCCCCAGAAGTGGGGAAGTTGATGAGCTAATGATGATGATATAAAGGTGCTTATTGGCAGATTTTTAATTAAGATTTGGTAAAGGCTCCAGTATAGAAGGTCAGAGTGCATACAGTATCCTCGGACCACGTGGGAGAAGCCGCGGCTTACAGCCAGTAAATTATAAGAACGATTCGAATTTTCGTTCAGATTACATATACTATAGGCCCTCAGGTGTCATGCTCATTCGTACGTGTTATAATGTTTATTGAAAATATAATAACTCCTTTGTGCTAATAGAGGGCATGTATACCCTATATCATTAACTGTCAACTGGTTTTATAAAGAGAAATAACGTCCGAACAATCTGTAATTCAAAGAAAGCTACCTACATAATATTTTGGTTTCTCTCATAAACAAAAAAATATAAAACTTTCTCGACAGAAAATTTAAAAAGTTACCTCTAAAATCCACCATTTCCATTTCTGTTGTTAATTTCTCATTGCTGGACTCATTCAAATAGACACAGACATTGTTTTGTCTCTATTATAACCCTAATATACATAAGTATATCTGAATGTTTTATTTTATCGCTTAATAGACTGAAAATTTTGTTTCAAAACCTAAATATAAGTATTGCTTCTAGAATTTTAACCAAATAAAGATTAAAAAAAAGAAAATTATAACTCCCAGTTTCTGATGAATACATCAATGAAAACAATTGTTTTGAAGATAGTTTTCGGCATTACACTTTGTTACATTAGGAATTATAAATCAAACTTTACATAGTATTTCAAATCGTTTTAATTTTTAATAATTATACATTCTCTATCATCCAGTAGCATTCTTCCATTTTGGTCCTTCTTACACTCTCTCATGTCTTATAAATACAATTTAATAATAATTATAGTTTCGTCAACATTTTTAAAGTTATCAATTATTTACATTTTTACACCAAGAAAAGATACAAGTTGAAAATTCTCACAATTTATACAAAAAAAAATGGTCAACTGAGCCAATTGTCTAGAATTTAGCTAAATGTTATACATTTTTTATACAATTGATTCTACTTCTAGCAAAAGAGATTAAATGATTGCATATAAAATTTTGATTTCTTATTTACAATTTAGTAACTTTATCAACTCTTTTTTAAAATAACGAAGCATGGAAAATTTGACCAGATGCAATTTACTAATATTCTTTAAAGCACCAATATTTGTTTGAATTCAAATAGATGTTAATTGTGTTTTATTAAAAAATAAAGCAATTATTTGCTATCAAAGAATATAAAAATTAAGAGCTATATATGTTTTAACTATTTATTATATAGGTTTACAGTAATATATCTACAAATATGCAGCAATGTAAGTTAAATCAATATTATGAAACCTGTTAATATAAACAATGATTATTTTCATGGCATTACATTATATATATTACCCAAGTCTTCAAACATTTCACTAAGAATAGTCGTTGTTATAGCTAATTTTATTTGCTTAAGCCCTAAAGTGATGATTGTTTCACATAAATATAAACATTTCACATAAACAAAAAATAAATTACTATTATTTTTTAATATTTTTTCAAAGTACAAACATTTTCAATGTATGAAAGAATCTACTTAACATATAAAACATAACAGGACATGTTCATAGTACGCTAAAAATAGTATCGTTCTTATACTTGAGTTGCGTTTTCGCCGGCGTTCAAAAGGAATTGTTCTTTCACTTCACAAGAACTCCTCTTTCTTGGTTTGGTTGGAGGTATGTGCAAGGCTTTCGTTCTACCTAAAGTACCACTTACAACGTTAACACTATATGCGACTCTCAAATCCGATGGGTTCTTCAGGAGGCTCTCACTTTCTGACAACATAACCTTTAACGGTCTTTGTTCAGAGGTTTTAGAAAATCTGGCTTGGGCATTCGCCGACATCGCTTGCAGCATCAAAAGTTGATTATGAATGTTTGGCGAACTTAAACTATTTCTAGGTATCGTCGCATGAGGTGTACCTGGAGCTGGAGATGGAGCAGGTTCTAATTCGTCAGAATCATTAAAATCGGAGATCATTTTTCCCGACGATCCAATATCCATCTCACTTTTATTAAGACTGTAGTAATGTCCGCCATAGTTAAAGAATTTGGAATTGAAACTGTCATAGGAAGGAACCACTCCATTTAATGTGGAAAAAACTTGAGGTCTCAAACTGGTATCAGGTATACTTCCTCTTGGCCTCCTTGGCAAAGTAACGTATCCTCCTTTGCTATTGATCAAAGGAATCGAGCCTGCAGCAGGAGATTGGAATCTAGAATATGCCGAGTTCATAGATGCTCCGTTATAACCAGGGGATTTTAGGGGACTTTCTGTATTGGTATGACTGAGTCTATCTTGACCTGATGAGTTTCCGGCGGGAGAAATTTGGGTGCTACCTCTGAGTGGGAAGGATAACAGATCTGGGGGGTACGTTTGGTGGTCTTGACTGAGTCGATCTATCAATAGTGTCTCTTGAGAAATTCTTGGCAGCTCCACTTCTTGTAGCCGGCTTTCTTCAGACAATGCTGTTGACAAAAATATAAAAAAATATTACACTTTATCTAATAGATATTAAAGTTTGATTGTGGAGGTAGTCTCATTTGTATTATTTGTTTTAGAAAATAAATGTAAATTAGATCCACTAGCTACATTATGATTAATATGATTTTCTTTCAATCAAATTTTTTGCATAATTTTATATTATTTTTTAATAGTAGTATATCAGAAAAAAAAGCATTCGTTATATTTAAAATTAACTAACGTTAACTACAGTACCATTGTCGATGCAATTTAGAATGTAGATATTTCATTCACAATTTTGCCGTTTGGCATGGAAATAGCCGTAATTCAAACCAGGTCTTGGCACAAAGAGCACAAGTTCATTAAATTTTACGTTTGAACTCGGCACGCTCCAGCTACGACAGAAATATTTGACCGTGTTGCTACAAATATTACTTAACAATATTATAAGTTGTATTTATTTGTGACCCCATTAAACCTTTGTATGCTGATCTGGAAGTGAAAAAAGGAAATTTCATAAATTATAAAAATAAATAGGTTTTTTAAAAGCTTGTATAGAGTTTTCAATTCTTTGAAAATAATCAGTATTTATAAAGCTGTATGAGATTCTTAACTGCAAAATATTCTGTAATTGTGTGTTTCGATGCTAATACATGTTGGAATTCAACAAAAATCGATTAATTTAACTGACGCGATAAACAACATAATAACCGGTTAGTATTGATACCGAGCGAGCTGATTAAGTTAGATGTACTATATCATAACTTTTCCTAAAAAGTATGATGATTTACCACAATGAATCCATGATAAAGTTAGTTTTTATATGATTACATTTACTAAGAGCATTTACAATTATTTAAAATAACTGGTGACATAAATCAATCAGAAACTCTTCCTACGAAATTTTTGGTTATCCTTAATAATTTAATTTAATTCCTTATGAACATTTAATATGTCGATGCTGCAAAACTGCTCTATATATTACAAAAATAACATGGATACTAAATACAATCTGTTATTTCTGAAACTACCAAACAGAATGCATTTGGACAAATCTAGTTGTCAATCATGCTTAACCAAAATAACCGCAATGGGCAATGCAAACAATAGTTTTATATATCAATTATAGATAGGTTAGGTTAGATAAATTCATTAATTTTTTTAACTTTATCTTGCAACAAAACGTTGACGGTGAATCTGAAGAGGGAATTTTAAACTTTTAAACAATTTTAAAGTTAATAAACTGGACGTAGAATTATCTCTGTATTAAAATATACAGATTATTTCGGCTTGTATATAAATTAACTAACAATGGGATCGGCTAATTAAAATATATTTTTTAATATGTTATTTTATTTGGTAGTTTATAAGTTTTATAGCAATGGTGTTTTATAGAAAATGGCTAATAAATAAAAACACAATTTAACAATAGTCGTGCTTATTGATTTTTCGGCTTGTAACAAAATATCAATTATAGTATTTCGAGTTTCTTGCGAACAAATTAACGACTTGTTAATCGAAGTTAGTAATTTCTCCGACCCGTGCAAAGTCCTTTTTTGCTAAAACTCCTTCGTAAATAAATTGGCTGTCTTAATTTTAGAGTGAATTTGAAAATTTTGAAGTAATATTCTAAACAATTATTAAGGAACATCTAAGTGAAATTGAAATTTTATATTTAGTAAGCAATTTATTTTAATGAGTTTCTCACGATGAAACCAAAATCCAGCTATAATAAGTAATTGAAATATAAAATGTAACTGGTCTTCGATCATTGAATAGACGAGTATTTTTTTACAAATATACTTTTTTTAAACTACGACTCACGCTAGAACGTGTCGGATATAAGGGTTGACCGTAACACAGCTAATCAATACCAATATTATAAATTTGGTAACACAGATATACTGGACCGGAAAGGACATAGACTAGTGTTGACGCGGAAAAATAAGCTATTGAGAGGATGAAATAAGGGACATGCATACATAAGCGATAGTCGCCGAAAATGAATTGACGGTCCTAGGATTGATTCCCGGCTTGTCCCGACATGGTCTAGCATGAGTCATATCCAAAACTTGAGTATCTAGTTTTCATGAATAGTTAGACGTCTCTCGAAGAAAACGCATTTATTAAGATATAATGAAACTTTTTAGGCTCATACAGGTCGAGCAGAGTTTTACTCTCGTTTGGCAATTTAGGTTAAATAATAATTAATATGTAAAAAGCTAGATAAAAACCGATGAATCTGATAAATAATATGATGTAAAGCCAGTAGAGAATAAGGATTATCTATCCACAGTCACACTAACTGCATGTTTTATCAGTCTGTTAAGTGGTGTTTCACGGGGGAATGAATCGGCAAGATTTTTAATAGTCGGCGGAAATAAAATAATTCTGCTAGGCTAGAGAGCGATTGAAAGCGCAATCCTAAAGATGGGTAACATTTGGCCGTATGCCCAAGCGACTGGTAATTCGCCGTGTAAACAATCAATTGCAGGTGTTTACTCATATAATGAAGAAGTGTTTAACGCACGTTTTTCTACGTATAACTATTTAGATTCTGGTACGAACCTACTCTGCTCAAAATTTTAAAAGGAAATCACCGAGCCGTATGCATTCGTCCTACGTCTAAATAAGCTAGCGATATGGTTTTGTGAAGCGACTAGTAGCATGACGGAAATGGACCCCTGTAAACCCGGCAAGAAGTCATAAAAACCGGAGAGCCTATATCATCGGCGAACATATGAAAAGACATCAAAGAAAAAAAAGACGCGTGTTAAAATTATACTTTAAGTTTCTCTAGAGATAGTATTACCAACCAATTATGATACCATCTCTAATAGTAATTTTCAACTGAAAAAGTGACAAACTGACCGACTATTTCCGACATAAAATATAAGATAAAACCATCTTCAGGCCGCTTTGATTTAGTGGCCTCTGTTTAATTGGAATGGCGGACGTTTGATTAACCAATACAATCCCTTTATTTCCTGAACCAATAGAATTCGTTTATTTAATGATATTCGTGATATATTTAGACGCTCTGTGAAGTCTTATTTTCGATGTTTTGCGAGAAATTATCATTTTAAGAATCTAATAAAATTTGATATAAAATATTAGCCGCCAATATACTTTTTAGTCGCAAATGACTTTTTGTATTTGACTGAAGGGAAATGTTGATGCAAAGTCACTGACCTCAGGACTTGGCAGGTTTAAAGCTCTACTTATAATGTACAAGTTATTAAAATTGAGATTGATTAATAATTCCTCTCAAAATGAGCAATGAATTGCCTTAAGCTTGATATTATGGTTAGCAACAAAAACTTGAAAAAGAATGTTAATCTATAATTAAATCTTATTTTTAGTCTATTACCACCCATACAAGGTTTTAGCAAAAAATCTAAATAAGCATAGGTTGTCATATAAAAACAATAATATACCATAATCAGGAGCTAAGTGCTGATTAATTTTGTCAGTGTAATTGCCACCAATTTTCAAATACAGTCAAGGCCGTCAAAATTTTGTAATAAAGGATACTTTGAAACCGAAGGCTGTTATTTGAAAAATAATTACATGATTATCAGAAGTATATAACAATTTTCAAATACAATATTAAAGTGATATTTATAGCATATTATATGTAATTAATAATATAAATGTGGCTATCTATTACATATTTATGAGTTCATTAAAATAAATAGGAATTATCGTTAGTTTTACTAAAGCAACTTTAACACGCTATAATCCTAAAGGGTAATCACAATTTTAATTTATTTCTAATGTTGTCAAATACACATTTAAACTTTTTCAGATTAATCGGTCAAAAGTAACATTTATCTTTTTGAAATGAAATTCGAGACCAAAAATGTAAACCAATTTACAACTTAATCTCAAATTTTGGAACGCATTTGGATTTCTCAAATTTTGACTGTCATAACGTGATGTAATCAAAATCGAACAAATATGGGTCAAAAGAAAATGTGTCATTGGTATAGCACATTTGTAGTTCTCGAAATTCGATTTCAAATTATATCAGACGTAATGTGATGATTCATTTAATGTCCATTAGATGCAAACAGAAGGCATATAAAAAAGCATTACTTACCATGTATGGTGTCGCTTTCTAATAATGTTTTGTTAAGTTCTGACATCTCAGTGGCCTTGCTAGGGAGGGATGGCATGACGTCGCTCTTTCTTGGAGGTTTCGTAATAGGGTTAACTTCTGCTTTAAATCCTTTCTCTAATTCAGATGCTACTGAACCCTCAATTAAAGCTTCTCCATTCGAAGAACGAGTATCAGTTTTAATCAGTCTTTTGATTTCGTTATTCTGTGTCGTATGATAGCAAACCGTTAGGACCGCTCCAAAAATTATCACTATAGCTACCAGACAACCTACTAGTATGGCAAAAGCATCCGCATCAATTCCCGCTATTATGCCACCTCCTGAATATTTGGATAGGATCAATGTCAGCGTCTTTTCATCTCGACCACCAGGATTTTCAGAAATACAAGTGTAATTTCCTTTATCATTATACCTAGCATGAAGAATGGTCAAGTTAACCCAACGTATTAAATCGATAGTATTCTCGCTGATAACGTATCTTATTTCACCAAACGCTTTGGTCTCGATAGTCTTCCCATTAAATCGCCACACGACATCAGGTGTGGGATTCCCGACAACTTTGCAACTCAAGGTAACGTTCTCATCGTAACTTTTTACCGTTGCATCGGGTAGTGGTTCGAGTATAGTAGGCCGGCACGCGAAGCTAGATGAGTCTAATTCGTTCCAAAGTTTGTCCCGGATAGATATTGGCTCCGCACACGAAGTCGGTGGCGTGTACAAATTATGACTGATTACCCAATCTCTGAAGGTTTGGAGGTTGCAGTCGCAGCGCCACGGGTTGTTGTGTAAATCCAAGCCGGACAAGTTTCTCAGTCCCATTAAAGTTTCAGGCTTCATATGATTCAGATTGTTGCCATCAAATCTCAAAATCTTAAGTTGAGGTAAGTTTTGGAATGCTTTAGTACCGATCCGCACTATTCTGTTATTGCTCAATTCCACCTTCTGTAGATACTTCAAGTTGCGGAATGTACCATCTTCAAGTTTATCGATAAAGTTATGACTCAAGTTTATCAATCTTAATTTCTCGGTACCCTTGAAGGTATCGGGATGTAGATATCGTATTCTGTTTTTAGACAGATCTAATTCAATCATTATCGCTAATGTTACGAAGGCCGATTTCTGTACCAATTCTATGTTGCACTCTTTTAGAAAAAGTTTTTTAAGATTACTAAGGCCTACTTTCTTGAAAGCTTCATGGTGTAGCTGTTGTAAATTATTATTTGATAGGTCTAATATTTGTATATCACTACTTAAATTTGCTGGTATTATCTTCAAACTTGAATTTGAGCAAATAGCTGCTTTATTTCCGGACTGCCACCGACAGTCACATGGCCTTTGGCATTCTGTAGTGAAATCGGCAAAAGTCGTAGTCAGGAGAACGAAAGGAATAAGTGTGTTCATCCATATTTTCCAATGTTGTTCAGCCATTTTGCTGCGGCGTTTGTCATTTCCTTAACTGTAGGCATTCCTGTTCGTCACACGTCGAACGCATTTGTGTTCTGCAACAAAAGAAAAGAACGTTAATATTTGACATGGCATTATTCAGGAATTTTAATTCTTTAGATTTTAGATTAGGCTTTTTTTGTTTCGTGTATACAAATCTAGATACAACTTAGAAGCTCAAACAGAAAAGGTTGACGTTGCCAATTACAAAACGTTGTAGAATTTCTTATAGCATAAGAGATAGCGATTTTATCATTGGTTTATTAGCACTTAAATAAAATCCACATGTTACGTTTCAGTAATTTCCGTTATTTGAAAAAAAAAGGGTAATGATAGTAATAATTTCATAAATGAAATATTTTTGTGTATAATAAAATATCTCGTTATCCTAATAGAACTTATAGTTACCTAATAAAATAATACCTATAGTTTAATCCACCATTGGTTAAACAAAGCACTTGAGGCTACCCAAAAGTGAAATTAGTAAATTAAAATATTTGTGAGACATTAAGCAGAGAAAATGAGTTTACTAATATTATTTCTGATAATAATCTATTTACAATATTTGAGAAATGAAAAATATATTTACATTTAACGGGTAAACTACTTATAATGTATCAGCTTAGCTTATAGTGTAGTGAGTCACAGTTTGCCTTTGATTACAATTGAAAGCAAGAAGGAAATATACAGGAAATTACTTTTATGAAACCGCTGTTCGCTTATAATATGCGGTGACATCGAACAGGTGGGCGGCAGAATAACGAGCGAAATACGTGACGACGACGTCGTCTCAGCGCTTTAGAGCCAAGATAAATGTAACAATGAATAACTTTGAGCGTTTCGGAGTTTGAATGCGCTTGGCGTTGAAACTTAGGCCATTTTGATTTGACAATGTGATGGATTATATGGTTTAATCGTATGATGGCGATATATGTAGCCAAAACTAGGAAGATTTATCAAAAATTACTTACGGCTCATTTAAATTTGTTGATATATCCCGCAAGCGGAGTGTTAGCGATTTCTGTAGTTTATTATCATTGGTCGACCAATGTAAATAATAATTTCCTTTACATTATTACACAAAAAAGCACAGGATCTCAATGGTGCGGTTAGGGCGTTCGTTCTAATGAGTAAGTTAAACAACTTTTCTAATGGCCACTCATCGGATTGGTGGCCAAATTCATTTGCTATCATAAAATATAGTTATTATAATGTAAGAGAATGTTCAATTATCTCTTTGGTTATACCATTGGAAATATTAGATTGTTTGTTTGTTTGCATTGAAAGGTCTCCAAAATTACTGAACTGGTTTTAAAAAATCTTTCACCTTAATCTTAGGTATTTGACGTTAACTTATATATGTATTTGACGGTTAAAATCTACGTAGGCCGTATCATGGAAAAAACAGTTATAATCCTGTCTTTGTTTCTTATATGCGAAGCTTATATTATCTTACTTAAAGCTTTCCATCAGCGTCTACGCCCGCGTGGTCCAGTATTATACATATAAAGCTTCCTCTTGAATCACTCTATATATTGATGAAAACCACATTAAAATTTAACGTACAGACAGCGGGAAGCAACATTGTTTTATACTATGAATAGATGCTGACATAAGTGGGTACTAGGTATATTTCTAATGGTTGTTGTAAGTTCATTGAAAAATCATGAGAATCATACATACAGAATAAAATACAGAATAATTTAATTCTGATTTGCGGATTCAGAGTCTTCATAAAAAGAAACATTTTCAAATATTGCATTATTACAACCGAGTGTTTTATAAAGTGTTTTTAGGAGAACTCAAAGTGATCTTACGAAAGAAAAGTTGTTTGAGAAAGTATAAATCCGAGTTTGTTAGAAACTCAAATCTTGCGTCAATATACAGGTTGATCATTCGAAGTTCCGGAAAAAATAGGGTTACTACAGAATAGTATGGAATTTAAAACAATTGCTTTAAAAGAAATACGATCGTACTAATATATTAAAGATAAAAATAAAGGTTTTATAACAGTGATTTATATATATATTACTTATAATAGGCAAATAACAAAAATCAAATAAGGAGGTCCGCCTCTGCACGCTGGTAAAATATCAGGCGACGCCGGCGGGAGTCATCTATTAAAACGGAATAGAAGAAAATTGAATTAAAAACGAGCAAAAAAAATACGTTTGTTATGTGGGAGCCAACGCTTTTTTTATTATTATATATTAAGTATTTGTTGTTACAGCGGCTACAGAATACAATAAGCAGTGAAAATTTCAATAGTCTCACTATCACGGTTCATGAGATTGTCTGGTGGCAGCCGGAAATACAGACAAACGGATGGTTGGACAGCAGAGTTATAGTAATATGGTCCCGTGTTCGGCCATTTTAGTACGGAATTCATAAACAAAATATAAGAAGTACAAACATGGCATTATTGTAATTGTAGTTTTTTTTTGTTACAAACTTTCACGTGGAAAACTCGTTCAAATTTAAAATAGATTGCCAATAAATTTTATTCCTAAGCAATTCTTTTATTCTGTTTACCTGTTTCTATTTCTACAAAGGAACTTTTTTACGGCAAAAGTTTGACACCCCTTAGAGGGCGACTTATCGCTGTTAAATCGAGCGCCCATTCGTCATTTTCCGTCTACGGTATTCAAAAAAAGGTAAGACGAAGAGAATCTTTGCAAGGATACCTTGGTGATCTTCTTTAAAAGTTTCTTTCATATATCAATAACTTAATGAAAACAGATTCTGTTAGAAAATATTTTTATGTGAACCTTACTTTAAATTGATGAGTTGGTACTCGGTGAACTAGTTTTTTTGAAGAACGTTACATTTCATCCTTAATATGTAAAATTCCTTCATAAATTGTCCCTTATTAAATTCAGCAAATCTGAAATCAGCTTAGATTGTATTGGCTTATTTTAAAGTATTTTTTTGTAAAGAATATGCTTGTTGACAAATTTTTACTATCTGTCCGTCAAGTATATTTAAAATACAGTCTAAATAAGTATTTTTCTTTTAATTTATGCATAATCATAAGAATACGGAGATAACTAATCAAAATATCGCATAATGTTATGCTTTTCTGTGCAGCTCTTTTTCTCTATAGCACATTAAATCATGGTTAGTAAATATTAATTAATCTATGTATTTAAGACAGTAAAAATAATCTCAATTTGATATTTATAACAATGAACCCAATAAAAAATCACGTTGTACAATTCTTGTGCTACAGAGTAGTTATTCTACGCGAAATCATCTTTGTAAGTAGTTAGAGGTTGTATGCTTATTATTATTTTCTATGATTAAAATGCATGCTTTATAGACACAATGTATAAAAATAAAAAGAATTGTATAGTTAGCGCTTTTTTGTTAGAACTAGTTTGTTCTTAATTCATTAAAACTAGCTCTTACAAACGGAACATTTAGAGATAAATATTCTGAAATGTCATTCTGAACTGAGTCTGAATTGTATTAGGAACTATCTCGCATACTTCAATTATAACAATTCCGGTAAAGACTCGTGACATTTCGTAAAAACGCCACGAGTATGTCATTATCAACATGTGAGTTGTACTTAAAGGTCACGTATTGTGTACAAAAATGGTGGATCCAAGGATCCGCCTTTATAAAGAAATATAAATTTCGGATCGATATACATTTTCTAATAGTTTAGAAATTTTATCTATGAACTACGTCATCGCAATCGTTAAAAGGAGGAGGTACCTTCAAGAAGGTCGATGGCGTAGTGGTTAGTCGAGCTTCTTCGTGCTTTTGAAGACACGTTAATCCATCGGTCCCGGCTCTATCTACAGCTGTGGATCATGCATGTACCATTCTCCCTTTTCAATTTCATCTATAGAGAAGGCCAATTTCATCTATATATATTAGGTCCTTACATATGAGATTGGCGTTTTGTCGTACAGGCCACTTTAATAACAAATTTCTCCTCCTTGGTTGGGAATTCCAAATTCAAATTTAAACAGCCATTTACACATGTATTTGTGTTTCGTAAGGCGGCATTCATTTGTTTTTTTTTTTCATATGTGAGGACCTAATATTTTAGGATTGTAAGTATACTATTATTAAGTTTCGTTATTATATTATTTACAAATACTTTAACAGCTAATACAAAACAAAGATTAATTATGTTAATAACATTCAAAACCCCACATAACCATTCATATTCAATAAGTAAACTATTCCGTCAAAAAAAGAACAAAATTAATTTCTCATTCCACCCGACTCGACTTCAGGCAGAAATATTCCGCTGCCGGTTCTAGCTTCGGATAAATACGTTTCTGACCTCAATAATTCGTAATAACCCCGTCATGTCTCCCGGAGGAAATGAGATACAACTAACAGTAGCTAATTTATCAGAAAAATCCCCTAATATATAATAGTTAATAAAAGGCTCATCCGTAACGTGGGAATGTCTAACGACCGCATTGTTAGGAAAAATCAACGTTACTTCTCGTGGACAAAGAAGTTTTTGGAAAGTCAGAATGTACCAACTATGTGACTTTTAGACATTATGATATAATTAAAATGGCCGAATGTTGACCCTATAATCAGAAACTGCAAAATTAGGTGTAAATTTCGTCGATATTCATAATTGATTAATTCTATCTATGTGTGAATTGATAAATTATAATTATTAATTTGACAGCGAGTGTTTAAATCAATTCAATTAATTTGCTTTCAAAACAATATAAGACGCTTCGCAACAATTCAAGATAATAAATATCAAACAGCAGAAATGGCGTATAATCAGACAGACACTTTTAAACAGGTATACGACTTAAACGCCGACGAGTTTGAAATTAATTTTGTTTCAGACCTTAACCCTTCTTGATTCTAATACGGAATTTCACATCAAAAGGTTTCTAACTTCGACTCGTCATTACGAATTCCTTAGAACTCAATTGTGCTTTCTTAAAGTCATAGTTATAGAGAATTATTATGAAATACATAGGTACTATAAGAGTTTAATAACTCTTTATTGACACCCATTTATATGACACTGTCACAAGTTGACTATATGGCGTTACATTGGCAACAGCGCCCTCTAGAGAGCCAAAAGTAAGAAACTAAAAAATATATTTTTACATCATTCCGTGTAGGGTATCAA